CTGCCTCATTGTCCCATGTCTGCACAATCACTGGAAGCAAGTCCTTCTTCATCTCGCCCTCCGCAGTGTCCTTGGCTGCTGTTTGGATGGGAAGGCTGATGCCCTCCCAGTCAGATATTCGCGCTCTGGGTTCATCGGCTTGTTGATTGAATTGTCACTGGACTTCTGCTTCATCTTTTGGTATTTATGCTTGTCTGTCAGTCACTGTGTCGTTTGATGTTTTTCTATCACTAAGAATTAGTTTTTTTTGCAACTATTTTCATGACATTTTGCTAAACACCGATGATGCCGTGGTGCAAACCTAAATCGCTTGCCTAATGCCATTGATCTTTCATCCTAACTGAGCAATTCCAGAGTTGTTCATCTTTGAACACAACAACGGTTCGTCTCTGCCAATTTCGTTTTGTCAATGATGCAGAAATTGACAAATGTCTGTTAGATGGTGAATAGTCGACGGTTCTTAGGAAGGTTTGACCTCGAAACCACTTGCTCGAATGGACTAGTATTTGAAGTCGGCGGTGGTGTTTTGGAGAAAATGGGAGGAAGAGAAAGAGGGATAAGTGGTGCATCAGTAAAAATATCTGCATTTTAGTTGTTTGTGTGGACGCATTGTAGTATTTTCACATTTTACCATAGTTATTCCTTTAATGTATTCGATGATCATCTGGGTCCTTATTTGCGCTGACGGGTCACTTACGTCAAGGCTGGTAAACAACCAGATGTGGGTCTACCAAAGGACCGTTGTGCCAATGCTAAGTCGATGACTAGTTATGAAAAGGCAACTTGTGGCACATGCAGCTGTTAGTGAGTGAACATGGACTAGCGGTAAGAAGCATTCTATGGGGGCATGGTGCCGCACGATAGAACAGCTATGTGCCAAATCACAGGATAGTGGTGTCTTAATTCCCAGCCTAACTCAAACTCACCCAATAAGGTGGGCCGCAAACTCGGTGCGGCAAGATCTACCAAGTTCTTATTTAAGCGAATCTACAGACGTCTTTTACCTGCAATCTATTCCTGGGTCTTCAGCAAGCGGATACTATGCTGACCCATTAAAAAACTCAATTAAGTCATGCAGTGTGTGCGCTAAGACTATGTGGAAACTGTACCCAAAATCAGGAAATTTGTTTTAATCCACACAATATGTTTGCACATTACCTGAGCAGTAATGGCTGCTTTTAGGCAAAGGCAAATTTTTTTAAAAGCAAGCTCAACAGTTTGCAAGAATTTCCTCTCCTGTTGCCGCTTGCTACTGCCTAAAATTCAGTAGATC